GATTCTCTCTCTCTTCTCTCTGACCCACTCGTGTGCACTCTCTCTCTCTCTCAAAATAAATTAATTAAAAAAAAAAAAAAAAGAGGATCCTTGATGTAAACATTTTGAAAGAGCAGATGCCCTCATCTTTAGTTAAAAATGCCTTCAGAATCATTTGATACTCAAAAGGAGAGATGAAAGTAAATCAAATAATTGCTTATTTTAAACTACTGACAGGGGACTGCCTGGTGGTTCAGCTGGTCGAGCCTCTGACTCTCGGTTTCAGCTCAGGTCATGATTCCAGGGTTATGGGATCAAGCCCTGTGTCAGAATCCATGCCCAGCAAGGAGCCTACTTAAGATTCTTTTTCTCTCTCCCTCTGCCAAACTCTCTCTCTCTAAAATAAAAATAAACTACTGACATGAAAGAGCTACCATTTAAGTCAGTGTATAAAATGCTTTCATCCACTTGCCTCAAAATATAAATAACCCATGAAGGAAAAAAAGGTATAGGTATTATCAGTTTAAGAGACATGAACATTTGAATTAACTAATGAAACAGAATCACAATTACTGTTTAGTCTGTTAACTTTAGTAGCAGATTCTGCTCAGCAACAATTCTAGTGAACAACCCTCTAAATTATTATCCAATTATTATTATTTATTATGGGCTTATCTCTGAAACAAATGTTAGAGAAGCCATAAAGATGAATTAAGTCCCTACACTAAAGGAAATACAATATACTAGCTTATCTAGGACAATACATCCACAGCTATAATACATGCTAGAATATGCCACTGTAAAAAACACAAAACTCTACTGGTAAGCAGGAAGAACTGGCAGGCAAGACTTTCAGCTGAGAGACTGAGAAGGCTTCCCACAGGTACCTATGGACAGCAAAGGAGGGACAGTGATAACAAAAGCATGTAGGCAGCACGGTACACGAGAGGTTCTGGGAATAGCTGACCAAGTCAGAAGACTGTAGAATGCTTCAGAGGAAGGGTAGGAAGAAAGAGGAGCAAGAGTGATTTGGCCATGCTGAGGAGTGTGCACTTCACTCCAGCAGAGATGGGCACCTCTGGCATCACAACAGTTTAGAAGCGAGAGAAAGCTCGGTCATCAACCCCTTCACTACATACCCAAGGACAATGAGCCTTGCAAAGGTTAGGTTGCTTGAAGAGAAACACAACATTCACAGTTGGAGACAAGAACTAAATTCTTGGCCCCTAGGAAAGACAGCATCAGATACATGGTTTCGGAAAATTATTTCAGCAGCAATGGGCAGCACAGACTAGAGAGAAAAGAAACTATGTAGTGTAGTTTTAGAAGTGAAAAGAAACTGGATGCATTGTAATTCAGAACTCTTACTAAGATGTTATAGTAATGTGTTTTAAAAATTGGACTCGCTTTGATATGCCAGATGTATTGTTAATTTGGCTACAGAAAATTCCCTACCTTGGCTATATAGATTTTACTGAATGAGAGAAAAAGAGTTTTTGTGCCAACCACATCAATAACATACATTGCCCCTTGAGCCAGGTCAACTCTCATTGGGGAATGGAGCATCATTAAAATGGATGTCAGAACTAATTTCAACAACTGTGAATGGGAAAAGCAATTGTTAAAAGAAAGTAAACTTCACTGGAACCTGTATTTAAATGTCACTTTAAAAATGACAACTAAGAGTCTATGATTTCCCTAAGAAAGTGCACATTTCATTGTGTTGCCTACATAATGGTGTATGCTTACGCTTAATGCTGTGGAAAAACAGCTGAAGTAGGCGACCATAAAATAGAAGAGGCTGATACTCATTTGTGGAAAGTAGCCTCATCACTTTATAGTCATATTTTGTAGTAATCACTAGCAAGACCACCCAAGAAATGCCATGCTGAATCCATATGAGCATTATACCTAAAAATAAAAGAGCATAACATAATACCTGTCCTTGAGCCCTATTTTTCTTTAATACACTATCTGGATCGATCATCCAAGAAATTATCTTAACATTTTCTGTATCTGTATTTTCTAATGGTACTCGCATTGTGCTCTTACAGTGCTGTCATGCCTATTACCTCAATTTTTGCTAGGTTTAAACAGTTTATCCATGTCTTGCTATCCAGCTTAATGACACAATTTAAGATTATTACACTTTGGAGCATCACTATGAATTGGAAGCAAGTTAACCTGTCTATAACACTGGGTTAGGTTTAGAGCAATTTCAATAGGGACTTTTAAAAAAAATCACTTTTTGGGGCGCCTGGGTGGCGCAGTCGGTTAAGCGTCCGACTTCAGCCAGGTCACGATCTCGCGGTCCGTGGGTTCGAGCCCCGTGTCAGGCTCTGGGCTGATGGCTCAGAGCCTGGAGCCTGTTTCCGATTCTGTGTCTCCCTCTCTCTCTGCCCCTCCCCCGTTCATGCTCTGTCTCTCTCTGTCCCAAAAAAAAAAAAAAAAAAAACCACCAAGTTGAAAAAAAAAATCACTTTTTTCCTTTCTTAAGTTGCCCATTTTCATAACTAGTTTTATGAGTATCACAAGCTGTGCTACTGTGTCCCCTTAAGTGTCTATACCATCTGGGCGCTCAAAACGCTTGCTCAAGTAATAAAACCAGTAGCGAGAGGTCAACTCTAGATGCAGCTGTGCGGTTCAAAGATCACCAGCGCTGACTTAAATTATCAGGATGCCCAGACAAGCTACTCGGTAGAATGGCCTTTCTCTGCTAGTTCCTTCCATGATGATATTCTCCAGGCTTCAGCCACAGAGCTTCCCTTCACATTCTACACTGCTAACATAGTCACTGACAATGGTCTTAACGCCTGCTTCATGTGTGGATGACATTCTGGCTTCTTTCCTAAGCTACAAATTCTATCTCTCACTGCCTATTAGATGTTTCAATTTGTATGTCTGACTACACCTCAACACAGAGCCCAAATTGAAATTATCATCATCCCTCTAAAACCTGCTCCTTCTCAGGTGTTGCCTATATTAGTAAAGAGTCTCACCCAACTACCTAACAGTAAAACCCAAGTAGACCTCACTTCCTGTCTTACCTACCTACCCTGAATCAGTCACTGATTCCCCTTGATTCTACCAGCAAAAATGTGTCTCCAATCTATGGGCTTCTCTCCCTTCCTGACACCACACGTGAAGTATCATCATAACTTACCAGAATTTAATTGGTGACTTTAACTCCAAACTATCATCCTTCCAATCCACTGTGCAGCCAAAATGTTCTTTCCGAAATATGAATCGGTTTAAAAATGCTGAAATGGCTTCCCATAATCCTTGGGAAAATATCCAAACTATCTGTCATGGCTTCCAAGGTCCTTTAAGAGCTGGAAACCACCTTGTAAATTATCCTACATGGCAAGATGAGTAAGTGCATGGGGAGTAGAAGAGTCAGACTGCTTACCTACAAGATATCCCTGAACAAGCAAACACTTAATTTCTTTGTCCCTCAGTATCCTCATCTATAAAATGGAAATATTGATACTTATCTCACACTGTGGACATGAATGTTAAATGAGATAAAATACAATGGCTTGACACAGTGTGTGACACATTTGATACATAGTAAATGCTATTGACACATCTGATACATCAGTAAATATTAGCTACTGTCATTAACTCTCCAGTGAATTTCTCACTTCTCTCCCATTTGTATTAGGAGTTCCATCTATTGGGAGCATCTATTATCTCCTTTTCACTTACATATCCCTCTGGTGGCAACTTCCCCTCCCATCAATCCAACCCTCCTGGAATCCTTTAAGGCTCATCCTAAATGCCACATCCTCTGTAAAGCCCTTCTGTCTCCGTAGGTGCCCTTACAACGTGCTCCTGAAGGCTCTGTATTTTCCCTGCCATGCATTTGTCCGACTTTCTGGTACTTTCTCTTCACTGCTAAATTCTAATTTCTGTGTGAGGAGCCACTGTCCTGTTCCCCACTGTATTCCCAATGCCTAGCACACTGCCTAGCACGCCCTTAATAGTCACGGTGGTGTGGATGAATGAGTGTATCTTTCCTCTCTCACACAACCCCTCTCCTCCCCAAACTGCAGTGCTAACAAAAGTGCAATATTCCTATAACAGTTATCTGTAAAATACACTTCAGGGAAGGCTGCCACCGAACAAACGCCGTCAGATAATACTGGGAAGGGCAGGTGAAAACAAAGTTAGGGGGTTCTGAACCACAGCCCTTCTCAGAGCCTTTCATACCCTGAAGTGCACTGTGAACCTCCAAGTTGTGTGTGCTTGAGCGGGTGGGGTGGGGGTGTAATTCTCAAAATATCTCCTACAACCAGTGTTCTTCCGAACACACAGTCGCAGAGCTGATGTAAGGAGGTGCCCTCCCCGACCAGGACTTCCAAGCAAGCGGGTAGTTGTGGACGGGGAAACCTCTAAAGCACTTCTTTCGCAGGGTGCACTGTTTTTACGTCGGTAGTCAGTGGACACAGAATCTGCGCGCTGGAAGAACCCACAGACATCGAGGAATAAATCTTCTTTTCCAAATGTACGAAATGAGGCCCAGAGTGGGAGAGCGACTGGTCCACGGCCACACAGGAACTCCATACAATAGGAAGGGAGAGGAGAACCCTGGACGACAATTTGGTCCCCGGGACTTCTACTACAAACAGTGCCTCTTGGCTCCTGGGGTCCGTCAAGTGCTTGCACCTCAATTCTATTTTCGAGCCATCCCAAAGTTAGGTCAGTTTTTCTCGGCTACCTCCTAGGCCTACAGTTGCTGCCCCTCCTCCCCCACCTCCCCCCACCATACACTTTCCCTGTAAGCCTTCCAGCACAGCCGGAGCCTGGCTGGGGCGGGGGAGATAGTTTCTGTCTTCCTTCTTCCCTTCAGAGATTATCTCCGGAGTGTAAACTTTTTCGTGTGGAACAAACGAACCTGTTAATTTTAACGCCTCCGCCTAAATCCCCATGGGCGCTACTCCCTACCCCCAGCGCACCCCAACCTACCCTACCCGCTCCTTTCCTCGCCTAGACCCAGGGGCCCTGCCGTCCGTCTTCACCTGGGACTGCCATTGCGCTGGTAAGAGGGGTCGCAGGAGCCGTAGGCTTTCGAGAGTACGCTCGCCTCCCGCCTGCCGCGAGGACCACAAACGGCGAGGGCGGCCTCTTCCTCCGACCGGCGCCACCGGACTTCCCTGCCAGTCGGGGAAGGCCTCTGGCGATAGTGGAACCAAGTAACGATGATGCAGTTTCCGGGGGAGTCATATTACAGAACGCACATGGTCCGAACCATTGCTGCCAGCCCCGGGGGTGGAGATGAATGAAACCTGCACATACATGTACTGAAGTAAACGACACCAACATTTATATATCCTTTTGTAAAAGTGTAACACAAATTTAGTTAACCTGCAGGTGCTTAATAATATTTTTTCGTTTCCTGGAGCCCATTGGAACCCCCCTTCTCAGGATTAGCGGTGCTCAGGCCCAGGAGCAACATGGCGGCGTCCGTGAGGGACTAGTTTTGGGAAAAGGTAGTGCTTGGTGCCGCTCATTTTGGGACATTGACAAACTGGAGCTTTCTGCGACCACCCGATTGAAGGAAGCGTGCCACTGATAGGTGGACTGCTTTAGTGATCGGCTCTCCGTTCTCACTCCCAATTAGGAGCGGAGCCCTGAGCACTGAGCAGCATGAGCAACATCTACATCCAGGAGCCTCCCACGAATGGGAAGGTGAGAGCCTCATCTACGGTACCTGGGCTCCCCAAAGTGATACCTCACCCATTAAGGGAGTTTTGGGGCGTTAGGGTTGGAAAAATCACAAAATGTCTTGTCCGTTACTCCTGCCTCTGGACAGGATTGCACCGAAAACCACCTACTGACACCTCTCGGCAAATACTTTGAGAAAAGTCCTCAAATGGAGATTTCTCCAGTGTCTGGCCACATTTCTTGCTTCAGCCTAACACATTCTAGGGCGTTTTCTAGGGCCTTAGGTAGAAACCTAGGTATATTTAAAATTGTGATTTTTGTTTTTCTTAACTTGTAAATCGCTCTTTCTCCATTCATTCTACAATCATGTATTGAATGCCTAGTAGTCACCAGGCACTGTACTAGGTGCTGGGGACACAAAGATGGATGGGTAAGGTCTAGTTGTTGCCCTAGAAAAGCTTATGGTTTTGTTTGGGAGGTAAGCAGGTAAAGAAAAACCTGATAAGTCCAATAGGCATGCTTATGGAGAGAGGAAGTCTAGTGCTACGGTAAGTACTAAAAAATGAGCCACTGAGGAAGAAGAGAAAAGCTTCGTGGAGGAGGTATCTTTTGAGCTGGTCTTAAAACATGAAAGTAGAGAATGAGAAATGTTCCCACATTAGAATGGGAGAATGATTTCCTGATTGATTTTATGGTCAAGGTATGTCAGTTCCCATCAAAGATTTTTATATGCAGTATGAGGCAGAGGAGTCAATAATGGAATAAGTATCACTGGGATTCTTAAACTGTGAGCTAGTCTCACCACATATGAAATGCGATGGACCAACATAGTGGAGAAAATAGCGGGACTGAAAGTACTTAGTTGAGGAGCGTCTGTACTGCTCAGTCAGTTAAACCTTTGACTGGGCTCAGGTCATGATCTCACAGTACTTGAGTTGAGCCCAATGTCAGGCTCCGTGCTGACAATTCAGAGCCTGGAGCCTGCTTCAGATTGTGTCTGTCTCTCTCTGCTCCTATCCTGCTTGTGCTCGCTATCTGTCGCAAAAATAAATAAACATTTTTTTTTTAACTTTAAAGCACATAGTTGAATTAGGATAAACTAAATTTACATCAGATACGATTCTGTTGCATGACTATATCATAATTTATGCAGTCTTTTGTTGATCAACATTTTGTAATATAAGGCAATATGAAAACAAAAACAATAATGCTCTAATTGATATCCCCACCAAGAATTTTAGTGTGTGTTTTGAGATGGGCCATTCTTTTAATTCTTTGCTGTGTGAACTTCTCCTTACTTCTCATCTGTATCTCACATCATTGTGTGAAAACTCAGAATACCTACCTCGTCATATTTCCAGATGTTTTTTGAGGGTGATATCACCCTCAGTTAATAAACACTAGTAGAGAATAAAAATATTGCCCATCCTGCTAGTCAGGGCTTTCACACTTATTATTCCTTTCTTTAGTACACTCTGGCCTGCTCAAATGTCACCTTGGCAGAGAGGACTTTTCTGTTTATAAAATCACAAACTCCATTCATGTCCTGCATTCCAACATTCCCTGCCCTTTCCCTCTTCAGTTTTTCCTGTGTACTTACTAGTTATTGTTTATTGTGTCCTCTGCCTCCCATTCTCCTCCCCATAGAATGCAAGCACTATGATGGCAGGGACTGACATCTAGAATGGTGCTTGACACATGGTAGGAGGAGTTCAAATATGTACTGACTCAATGAATGGATGGATTAATATTTTATTTCTCTTAAGTTAAAGTATTAAGCATCAGTGACTTTGAGGTTATATTGCTGCTGATCAAGGGAAGATTTATTTGTTTTACTCTGGAAGGAAGATTTGACATGGTCATAAAGAGGAAGACCTTTAACAAAGATACATGCCTGAACAGGAGATCTTTTATTCAACAAATATTTATTTAGCAACTAGCACATGCCAACCTCTATGCTAGGTTTTAGGAATACAAGGGAAAGGAAAACCAGCATTGTCTCTAATATGGAGTCAGTTGAGTGAAATGTACATTCACCAAATAATCATGTAAATAAGTACATGCAAACTGATAAATACTGTCCTTCTGAGAGCACTTGGGTGGCTCAGTTGATTGTCTGACTCTTGGTTTTGGCTCAGGTCATAATATCACAGTTGTGAGACTGAGCCCCTTGTCAGTCTCCATACTGAGTGTGAAGCTTGCTTGGAATTCTCTCTTACTTTCTTTCTCTCAAACTAAACTAAAAAAAAAAAAAAAAAAAAAAAAAAAAAATACTGTTCTTTTTAAACAAAATTGGGCTTACAGAGAACATCAGGCATAGCCAAAGTTTCCTTCAAACACAGTTGGGGATTTTTTTTTTTTTTTTTTTAACATAAGGCCAGTTGAGGACATTGAAGCTTCAAAGTTCTGTACCATAGAGAGCACATGGCAAGAATTTGGGCCTGGAAGGAATTTAAACAGATATAACAATATGTTTTCTCAGTGAATGTTTGTTTAGTGCCTATGCTGTCTAATGCTACATTAGGTACTAAAAGGATTAAGAGATATTCAGAATAAATGGGACAAAGTTCCTCCCTTCAAAGAGCATAGTATCAACCTGGGAAGTAATTGACTTATCAGATCAGTGGTTGTTTATAAGTTGTGCTGTGTTTTGTTGTAACTCTGGCCTCTGAAGATGACACACAGAAATGTACCCCTTGATGGAAATGTCTTTATACACTCAAGATGAAATTTCTATGTATTATGATCACTTAATTTAAATTGCATATTAATATTCTCTTTTTTTGAGAGAGAGAGGGAAAGAGAGAGAGCACATGAGTGAGTGGGGGAGGGTCAGGGAGAGGGAGAGAGAGAATCCTAATCCCCACACCCAGCACAGAGCCCCACTAAGGGCTTGATCCTATGGCACTGGGATCTCATGATCCTGTGGCTCATGACCTGAGCCACAATGAAGTTGGACACTTAGCCGACTGAGCCACCCAGGCGCCCCAATAAAACGTTTCTTAAGAATAAACATTTATTGTGGCTCCATGATCTCATGGTTCATGAGTTCGAGCCCTGCCTTGGGCTCTGTGCTGTGACAGCTCAGAGCCTGGAGGCTGCTTCTGATTCCGTGTCTCCCTCTCTTTCTGCCCCTTTCCCGCTTGTGCTCTCTCTCTTTCAAAAATAAACAAATAAACATTAAAATTTAAAAAAAGAAACATTTTATTATCAGAGTATTGCCTTATTTTGAATCTTTAAGAAAGGGAGCACCAATACTTGACAAAATAGTGATGGCCAAAAGAAATGTATGGAGGAAGGAGCCATGTGCCTTCTTTATAAATTCAGTAGCTTATCAGTGGAAAGAGTAAGAAACTCTGGTAAACAAGGTAGCCCAACTGTGTATGCATTCTTTTTACTGGGTGTAAGTTGACTGTGGCCAAAAATATTATAGAAGAAGAATAATTACAATAGTAGCTACCATTTTTTGAACATTTACTATTTTTCAGGTAATGTTCTAAGCAGTCTATGTGTAATAAATCATTTTGTTCTCACAAGAAACCTATGAGGATATTATTGTCCCTATTTTAGATAATAAAGTTGAGTCACAGATATGTTAGATAGCATGTCCAAAGTAAAAAACTTCCTTACCCTTTGTAAGTGCAAGGGTCAGTCAGTACTGGAATTTGAGCAGCTGACTCCAGAACCTGTAAAGGGAGGGATGGTGTGCATTAGTTTATTCTTTAGAGTAGTGGTTTCTTAAACCAGTGAGTGCACACTTCAGGGACTGTGCAAAACCATCATGAGATGCAAAGAGAAAAGCTACATTCTTCTGCTTGCATTTATCATTTCCTTTGTGTAAATGTAATCTTTTTAAAAATATTTTTTAAATGTTTTAATTTTATTTTTGAGAGACAGAGAGAGACAGCATAAGTGGGGGAGGAGCAGAGAGAGAGGGAGACAGAGAATCTGAAGCAGGCTCTAGGCTCCGAGCTGTCGGCACAGAGCCCGACAGGGGGCTCAAACCCACAAACCGTGAGATCATGACCTGAGCTAAAGTTGGACGCCTAACTTACTGAGCCACCCAGGCGCCCCTAAATGTAATCTTTTATATATAAAAAGGAACATATATATTCATTTACTTAGTCACTTTTTATATGTCATGATGTAATTTTTCCTAATATCATGCTAAATGCATTACATTTCATTGTTAATCTGGATTAACTAGACCAGCCCTCACAGATTTCATATTGAAAGTAATATTAATAATGTAAACATAAGCAAACCACAAGAAAATGGTAGACCTGATGCCTCAACATGGGAAGTATGTAAAAAATTAGAAATTATTATGAAAATTATTTGAAATACGGATTTCTATTTATTGTTAATGATGAACTTTGTCTTAAGTGTATATTGTGCCTTGGCATATTTATCAGTAAGAATATAAAGCCATTGTCATTTTCAAGACATTTAAAACAAAGTGAGTAGAACAGGAAGATGGACCTCTACAATTTGAAAGCAACATTATGCTAAGTGAAAGAAGCCAAATACCAAAAGCCACACATTGTATGATTCCATTTATATGAAATATTCAA